CGGCCGCTGGGCCGGGGAGTGCTGGCCCTGACGCCGGGGGCGCACGGGCGGCGAGAGGCCGGCGCGTGGGGAGCGGGCCGCGCGGCACCATGTCGGCCAAGGTGCGGCTCAAGAAGCTGGAGCAGCTGCTCCTGGACGGGCCGTGGCGCAACGAGAGCGCCCTGAGCGTGGAGACGCTGCTGGACGTGCTGGTGTGCCTCTACACCGAGTGCAGCCACTCGGCGCTGCGCCGCGACAAGTATGTGGCGGAGTTCCTCGAGTGGGGTGAGTAAGGTGCCGCTCGCCCCTCCGCGCTTCTCGCTCCTCGTACCCGCGCCGGGCCTCCCTGGTCCTGCGCTCCGGAGCCACATCCTCCGTTCGCACTCCCCCCACTCCCGGCCATCGCCCTGGCCGCTTCCTAGACCCACCCTCCGAGTCTGGATATCATTTCCTGCAGCGCTCCCTGGGACATCCGCCCTGCCTCCGCCCGGGACTGGCCTTTGGGGTCCAGAATCGGGCCTGGAGTTACCCCTCCAGCCCTAGCCTCTGCCGGGTGGGAGGGCAGCCCCCGTGTCTTTTGCATCTCCTCAACTCCCGCCCCCGCCGGGTGGGCCTTCCGAGGGCATCGCGTCCCACAGCCCAGCCCCGAGAGCTCCACCCAGGTGACAGCCTGTCCACATCCCCTCGATGTCCAGGGCCTGAGCATCCCCTTCCCTTTAGCACCTCCAAGCGAATTTTAACGTTAAAAGCTTTATTTCAAGTACACCATTCGAGCGCAAGTCGATATTCCTCCCCACCCCCGAATTATAATCGTGTCAGACTCTGGTGATATTGGGGCGGGGGCGGGGAAGCTGGAACTGTCACTTAAAAACTTTTCTTCATCTGACCTTGGTATTGGGTTCATTTAGGGATCGAATGCAGTAATCATGGGGCGAATAACCTATTGTGCTTCATTAGGACAAATACGCGATCGAGTCATTTATTGATAGGAGTTCCCAAGACAGGTTAGAGTATAAGGTGAAACCCTTGCTTCAAACCTCCCTTACGGTCATTTCCCCTCAAGACCCTCAGTTCCTTCACAAGGCCTGACTGAGTAGGAGGAAGTGAAGCTTAGGTACAGGTCAAACTCTGTCCATCTTGCCCTCGGGTTGCTCTCGTCATTGGGCTAGGACTGTGCAGTTTGAACCAGTCATTTCTAATCTTCGGGACTGATAAAGCTGATATTTACATGCGGAGGCCTCCTCCTCTCACAGTGGTTCCCGGCATCTAGAATTCTGTTGAGGACCTAAAGTGCAGTGATCTTTAGAAGGGCTTCTGTCTGGTTGCTTTTGAGCGTGACGTTGCTGCTGCGTGTGCCTTAGAGTAGCTGGAGGAGGGACCCTGCCTCAGGACACTCTGGCGCTTTGTTGTGTGTGGGGCCCCTGCTCTTGGTTACAAAGAGGGCTGAGCCCTTAGTTGAGAGAGGACTGGCTTTCCGGGGACCTTTATCAGTGACATGATTTCCAGTCAGATAATTAACTGACTTCAGAGTTGCTTTGAAAGCGAGGTCTTGAGTGCATGCTGCAATCTGAGACTTCTCAATATTGTATTTGTCATTCTTTTCTGAGCACTGGATCTGGAAATCCGGACAATTCCAGAGTCAGGTTCAGCTGGGTGCATAGCATGTGAGTAATGAGAGGAGACGGCACAGGGAAGGGCTGGTTCACTGATGAGGTGTGGTCCAGGTGTCCTCTGGCCCAGGACGTGCACAGTGCCTGGTGGGGATGGGCCGGAAGGCTGGGTGCTCACTGCTGGGTACTCCAGACTTCCCGGGAGGAAGCTCTTCTCAGCATGTGAAGAGGGCAGATTTTGTAAGATCTGACCTTTCCAAATCTAAACAGAAACTGTGTGCTATAATGTAAGCATGGTTACAAAATTGTGTTTTGGCCCTTGGAAATTGTGATTACAAATAAATTATCCTCTTGGCTCAATTCCTGCAGCGGTGTAAGCTTTTAATTAAGAGCAAACCGGATGGCACACCCTTAATCCCAGCATTTGGGAGGCAGAGGCAGGAAGATGAGGACCTGAAGGTCAAGCCTCAGCTACATTATGCGTTTGAAGCCAGCATGGGCTACCTGAGAGAGACTGTTCTATAAACAATAACAAACACCAAATTAGAGAACAGAATGGCCTATTAAATACAAGGTAGAATTTTATTGAAATAGTACATAGTTTAGAGTGCCATGTACTTCTATGTATATTCCTGTGTGCACTGCTGTAACATTGGTGTGTCGCCAGTACACACGTGTGCAGTCATTGTTTAGGTGTTGGTGACAAGACAAAGAACGGCCTTCCTAACAAGACTGTTCTAGTAGGTACCTAACTTAACAGTGGAGAGGCTTCAGTTCAGGAAGCATACAGCTTGTTGAGATTTGGGGTTCCTCATTCTGCCTGTTTTGGAGTCTGATAACATTGACAGTCCAGAGGGCCAGTCTCTCTCTCCCCACCACACAAGTCTATCTAGTGACAAGTAGATAGGATTCTTGAGACTTGGGAACAGCTGACTTAGCCCTTAAGAAACTTAAGGGAAGCCGGGCGGTGGTGGCGCAGACCTTTAATCCCAGCACTCGGGAGGCAGAGCCAGGCGGATCTCTCTGAGTTTGAGGCCAGCCTGGTCTACAGAG